ATATATTTATATATGTAATTGTATATTTATATCATTATATAAATTATGTATTTATATACATCAAATATATAATTTTACACTGTTAAACACCTTTTTTCAGGAAACTATGTAGCAAAGGTATATGTATATACAGAGAGAGAGGGGAGAGAGAGAGAGACATATTGTCATTTAATGGCTCATAGTTTTCCATTTATTTAACAGATCTATTTATTAATGGCTATTTAGGGGATTATATTTTTTGTTATATTTTTTCTTTTTTGTTTATTTTGCTATTGCAATTTCTGCAGTAAACACCTTCGCTTATTCATCTTTGCACTTTTTAGTATTTCTGCAAGATAAATTTCTTAAAATGAGATCATCGGATCAAAGTGTATGCATATTTAAAATTTTAAGGGATATTCCCAAATTGCTTGTCAAAAAGATTGTACTGGTTTGCTCTCCTGTTTTCAAGATTGTTCCTCCACATCTTGACTAATGCTATATTAATGGGTTTTTTTAATTTGTTGCCAACTGATAGCCAAAAACAGATATTTCATCATGATAATTTGCATTTTTTTGTTTATTCTAGAGATTGAGCATTTTTGCATGTTTATTATCAATTCAAATCTCTCTCTCTCTAACTTAACTATTCATATATTTTACCTATGTTTTCCGATTGATCATCTTACTGATTTGGTGGAACATATTTTGTATTACAATCCTGATCTTTATCTGATATAAATGTCCTAAATTATTTTCCTAGTTTATCATTTATCTTTTAATAATTTATTTTGAACATTATCTAAACAGTATTTATATTATGTTTAGACACATTGCAGAGATATATTATCAGAGAATTATTATTAATACTTGTTCACAAATGAATAAAAATTGACCACATTTTATGCCTAAGCCAATTTGTTGTGTGTTTTGTAAATGACTTTGGGGACATGAACACATAATTATTTCTCTGTTATGACTGGGGTATTAACCATTCATGAATTCATGTAAAATTGGACTAAAAACAGGAAAAACTAACCTGTGGGTTTCACACCATGACAGGAAGGTACCCTACTGATCAAACACATCTACCTTGCTGATACTCAAATAACACTTTGACACTTCCTGGCCTCAGATATGTTGGCAGAGACAAGTATGTGGTTTTTCTTCTTAGAGCAAAAACATTGACTGAGGAGCTTTTCAGAAGCAGTGTGAACATTTCTTTAGAATCTGCAGCATGGTACAGGGCCACAGGTTTGCACTGCATTTTTCCACTGAACATTTTGAAGTGCATTTCATCATTTTTTAGTTATTAAAAATATTTTATCAATTATATAATATGCATATTAATTAAATACATGAAATCTCTATTTACAGCTTGAGGAATATCCATGAATAAATACTTATTTACCCATCACCCAATTGAAGAAGTACAAGTTTACCGAAACCTTTGCCACCCTCTCTGTGCCTCTTGTTAGTTGTTTATCCTGCCTGCTCCTCAGGAGTATCTATTTGCTGAATTTTGTGTTGGTTATTTTCTTGCTATTTATATATCATTCAAAATTCACATATATATGATCATTAAACAATATATTAGTTTGAATGATGTTGAGATTCACCCACATTACTTCCTACAGCTGTAGTTCAGTCATTTCTACAGTTACTTCACCTGTTTTTTCTCTTATAAATAATAGTTTTACACCTCGTGGCACACACATGTCGGGTAAGAGGGATGTATATCTTTAATGCTTCCAGATAATGACAAAGTTTCTCAAAGAGGTTGTACCACCCACGGTGCATAAGATCCCGATGCCTTAAGTTCTTGCCGATGCCTGGTAATGTCAAACTTGCAACATTTCTCAGTTTCGTCACTGTTATCCCACTATAGTTTTAATTTTCATTTTCCTGGTTATTAATAAAGGTTAGCATCTTTCATATGGCACTTGGTCATTTATCTTTCCTATTCTGTAAAATATCTGTTCATGTCTGTCACACACTATTTTACTTGATTGTTTATCTTTCTTACTGATTTCCAGGACTTTATATATTCAGGATACAGATCTTTTTCTCAGTTATATGTGTGACAATATCTTCTCTCAGTTTGTGACTTGGCTTCTCCTTTTCTTCATGGTCTATTTTGATAAACAGAAGTCCTATATTAATGAAATCAAGTTTATCATAAAATATCCCAATTTTATGTCATTAGGAAATTCTTCCTT